GTAAAATTGGGTCGTTACAGCGAGCCTGCTAGCGTTCCACTGGACTGTCTAGAAGAGTCTGTGGTCGTCATCCATACTCCGCTAGATGACAGAATCAACAACAACAACATCGATGCCTCTCATCATTTTATCACACATCGTCTATTACATCTACCCATGTTTTACCCCAACATTTTTGTAGATATAAAATACATATACAATTTAAATCATTTAAAACATGTATGAAAATCTTTCATCAACATAGACAGCAAGTATTCAGACAATATGCACACATAGCACGTAATTTATATTAAATACTTCATATTTATGTGTAAGATGAAAGTGACTATGCAGTCACCTGTTAGCTCGGTACTCGGACAACGCTTCGTTATCTCAAAACAATTTTTCCCTTGACCAAACCTAGTATCAATGCCACTAGGGTTTAGTCTAACGTTAACCACGACTAATTAGTAGTCTAGCTATTATTACTATTATATAAGCGTTAAACAATACTTATATAACCCATAATAATAGCCCAAGTACTTATTATAAGTTCCTAATAATGTTACTATAGTTAAATAAAAGCAATATTAAAAATAGCGTAGGCGTAGCTCACTTACAACAGGTTTTATAGAAAACCGGGCTTCGCTTGGAGCAGCGTTTCCGAACCGAAAAACCCTTTTTCTCGGGACTAAGGGAGCCTCGGGGCTTCCTTCAGGTGCTAGGGGGTTTACCTAGGCTTAGGGGGGGGGGGGTTAGAGAGAGAAAGCTTTGAAAGGTGTGAAAAATTGGCTGACCCTCGCAGCCTTTTTATAGGCGCTCAGCTCCTCGGTGGTACGCTAGGCGTACATCACTACGCGGGGGTAGTTCGGATAGGGTCACGAGGTGGCAGGCTCCGGATGGTGCAACGTGGGCCAAGCTGCACCAAGGAAGGGTCCGCGTACGCGGCACGTTCCAAGCTCGGACGCTGGGCGTAATGCGAGGCCAGATGTCGTTCATCCGAAGCGAAGCCTTGGGCAACAAGCAACGGCTCAGATGCGGCCACGTCATCACCCTTCTCGCAGATTCACAATTTTGCTTCCCGACTTCTAAAATTCATAACTTTCGCATACGAGCTCTGTTTTCGACGTTCTTTATATCCACGCGTAGGCGGGAACGTACTCTACAACTTTCGTTTAGACTCCGTCGGGTAATTTAGACTTTATTTTAAATTTATATTTTTAACAGGCCGCGACAGGATTGGTCCGTTAAAAATTCATAAGTTCTTCATCTGACGTCCGTTTTCGTCTGTCTTTTTATCGTTACGCTACTATTAACGAGATCTTCAATTCTCGTTTAGGTTGTGTCGGCTAAAAATTGCTCGATCTAATATTCGAACTTCGGGCTGTACACTGCTAAGCCGAAACTTCGAAAAATCATAATTTCCTCATATGAAGTCAGAGTTGGGCGTTCTTTTTATGGACGCTCTCGGTTTAACGTTTTCTACGACTTTCATTTAGATCGCTAAATCTAAAAGTCGCTCTATCGTAAATTCACTATTTACGCTTACGGTGCCGTGCCGGTTCCGTCGCGAAACTTCGACGAGTCATAACTTCTTCGTTATAACTCAGATTTCGGCGTTCTTTATATCCTCGGAATCCTTGTTTCGACCACTACAACTTTATGTAGAGATATCGGGTTTATCTCACACTTTAATTTTGACGCTTATTTTTATTCTTTATTTATTACACATTTATAAATAAGTAATAAGCATATAAATGCACATAATTCACATAATACTCCAATATTTCATCTTTATTATCTTAAAAGAGTTACAATAGTTGACCTAGACTATTACATCATCTACTACTGCTTAGCCCTGAAACACGGGCGTTACAATTCTTTCCCCCTTAGGATGATTCCGTCCCAGAATCATGCGTCAGCAAACAGATGTGGATAGCGACTCATCATGTCATCCTCTGTTTCCCAAGTGAGATTCGACCCATTCAGATGTTTCCAACGGACTAGCACTAAGTCGACCATCTTGCGTCGTAACTTCTTAGTCTTACGGTCAACAATTGCCTCGGGCTCTTCAATCATCCTCTTGTTCTCATCCATTCTTAACTCTGAGATCGGAATTATGTCGGGAACTTCTCCCGCGAACTTCCTCAAACCCAACGAACTTAACCTTTTTGTCTAAAAAAGCCCAACTAACTTACTATTTAGTTCACCTCTCATTTAGGGTGAACCGGCTAATGAAAGTCAACGAATGACATGACTTATGACATGTAATTAAATATCGGAAAATGACTTGTAAGACCAACGAAGTTTCGAAAACCGTTCAAAAACCCCAATCATGTTTTGTTTGTAAAAAAAAACCCAACGACATGACATTATATTCAATTCTCATTATAGGCAACCAGATTCATTAGGTATACAATTAGTTGGCAAATGACATGACATTATATTTAATGACATGGAATAAACAAATTAGAATTTCCCTTTATATATCGATTTAGTGCTTGGAGAAGAGAAAAACGAACATCATTTGTGTTCGATCTCTTGTAATAGCTACTTCTTCTTCTTCTTCCTCTCAATCATTGATGTCCAACTCAAGATCTACAAAGAAGATATTTGATGATTCAAACCCTTGTGGATGTAGACGCCCTTCTCGGATTTGGACATCTAGAATGGAGGATCATCCAGAGAAAAAGTTCAAGGCTTATTCGAACAGATGGGTAAGTGTAATTGAAAGCTTTATCATGTCCATTTTAATAAGTTTTTTTTTGAAAGAACCATATGTTTGGATAGAATATGGACATGATAAAGCTTTCAATTACACTTACCCATCTGATCGAACAAGCCCTGAACTTTTTTCTCTTTTCTCTGGATAATCCTCCGTTCTAGATGTCCAAATCCAAGAAGGGCGTCCACATCCACAAGGGTTTGCATCATCAAATATATTCTTTGTAGATCTTGAGTTGGACATCAACGATTGAGAGGAAGAATAAGAAGTAGCCATTACAAGATATCAAAGACAGACGTAGTTCGTTTTTCTCTTCTCCAAGTCCTAAATCGATATATAATGGACAATTCTAATCTGTTTATTCCATGTCATTAAATATAATGTCATGTCATTTGCCAACTAATTTTATACCTAATGAATCTGGTTGCCTATAATGAGAATTAATTAATAGTGTAACTTTGTTGGTTTTTTTTAACAGATAAAACATGATTGGGGTTTTTTGAACGGTTTCGAAACTTCGTTGGTCTTACAAGTCATTTTCTCGATATTTAATTACACGTCATAAGCCATGTCATTCGTTGACTGTCATTAGCTGGTTGACCCTAAATGAGAAGTGAACAAAAGTGTAAGTTAGTTGGGATTTTTTAGACAAAATGTTAAGTTTATTGGGTTTTTTTGAACAGACAAAACATAATTGGAGTTTTTTGAACGGTTTGAAAACTTCGTTGGACTTATAAGACATTTTCCCCTTTCCATTTTTTTTTTTTTTTTTCTCATCTGTTTTGGTTTTTAATTTCCCTGGTTGGAACTTCATTTTTTTTTTGCCTTTCCATCGCTTTTTGTTTTTTGATTTCCTAAATGAAGATAATGATTAAAATTATGCAAACGTGTTTTCAGGTTTAAAGTCATCAAATGTTGATCAAGCTTTCTTCTCTTATGAATATGTTTTGGTTTTGCATCTTTGAATTAAGACTTACTGGTTTCTATTATTGCGGATATGTTGCAAATGGTTTGATTTGAATCGAGACTTAGCAGGCGTGTGATCTCCAGTGTTCTCCTTCTCGAGTGACTGTTCGACCTCCCATATCAATTACCCTAAAATCGATGGTTCATCCCCCTCTTTTTCTCTATAAATGTCTGTGTGTGTGTGTCGATTTTGTGTGCTAAATTTTCTAGAAAGACTCAAAAATCAGAATGGGGGAAGTTGAAACGTGAATTTATTCAAGCTTCATATTTTCCAGGTGTGTGTGTATCTATGTAAACTTAAATCTTAATTTTTATATCTTTATTGTCCCAATGGGTCAAACAGGTAAGTAAAAGACCCGGTTAAAGAAGAACTGATGTTTGTTCCTTTTAACATGCAGGCCGTAAGAAGTGAAGCAAGTTTGATGCTTGATTCTATGTATGATGAAACACAACATGGATATAGGGAAATGGACAACATGAATAATATACCCACAAATGTCGTGTGAAGTGTCTTCTTGAGTGAGATCCATCTCTCATTCAACATACTACTGCTTTTCACATAGTTGCTGCCAATGAACAGAGTGAGGTGGTAACATTTTAACTTTTCAATCTCTTAACACTTTCAAGACGTTTCTGGGATTGATTGAGCAAAAAAATGACTTTTTGCTGCTATGGAAACATGGGGGAAATAGAGAAAAATAGAGGATTGGGCTATGGAAAGTTTCTGAATTTTACTTACAAAGTACAAAACAAATTACAAAAGAAAAAAGGAAAGATAGGAGTTGACTAAATGTTATTGGAAGTAAGCCAAATGGTTTTCAACTTGGCTTACAGAATAAGACTCTCACTCATTCTTTATTTTATTGGGTTAGCTGGACTTTTTCTATTTGGTAGGTTCCATGTATTATCCTTGAACACTTGGGAAATTCGAAGTTTATGTGATTGGTGCAGTGGTGGCCTGATAAGAAAGGGTTTATGGTGTTTTCGTTTCAAAATTGGTTTTTCTTTTTTCTTGAATATAAATATTTTTTATTTCTTACCTAAAAGCTTTTTTAGTTAGTTCAGACTTGAGTTTTTAATTTGATTTCGATGCTTGTTATAACATCATGAAAAGTCCTGAACACCAGATGACAAAAAATCTCACACAACTGATCTTTGAGGGTAAAATTGTCATAATTACTTTGTTTCAAGGGTGTCCATTTGAGGGTAAAATTGTCATAATAATAATAATAATAATAATAATAATAATAATAATAATAATAATAATAGATTAAAGGAAAAATAGTTATTGTATAAGAATCACTAAGGGGATATTACATTCGGATGTGGCATGCCCGGCCGAATGGTTAAGCTTGTGACACTGTATGTGGGGAACCCTAGTTCGAACCCCACCCAAGCTTTTTTAGTCCAGTTTTTTTTAGCCCCGTCTTTTTTTTTTGTTCCGTTTAATAAAAGCTTCATCTTAGGGCAAAAACGCGATTTCCTGCTCCAGTGCTCCCGACTTCTCCTCCTTTCTTCTCCCTTTTCCGCCGTCTCCTCCATTTTGCCCGTCCTCTGCTCCTCAAACGCGACCACCGCTCGTCCGGTCGATTTGCTGCCTCCATCTGCGAAGAACAGTCGCCGCCGCAGGGAGACGAAGTCGAAGACGCAGACGAACACGAAGTCGAAGACGCAGACGAACACATCCCCTTGTTCGACAAAGACGCAGCTGCGTTCGTCGACCCTCCTTCTCCGTTTTTCCAACCGGCAGTCCTGGTCGCCGTCTCCATCTGCCCTCCCCATCTCGCCGGCACATCTGCCCTCCTAATCTCACCGCCTCCTTGCTCGATTTCTTCCCCAAGATAGGTAAAACCCTTTTTTTTATATTACTTCATGTATACACCTTTAGATGTTTAATTCATTGATAATGTTGATTTGCTTTGTTGAATGTGAGGTTTTAGATTATATTTTAGGTCGAATTTGAGGTTTTAGGTTAAATTTTGGTTGAATTTATTAAAATTCTGGTAACTAGTGAAGCTGATCATGGCTTGGTTAAATTCATTAGGTTAAAACTTGGTTGAATTTAGCTTAATTTATTGGTTAAAATTTTCATTTTTTTAGAGCTGAGCAAACCACCTCGTTGTCTTTCCTTGGCCCATCCCATTGCAGAAAATTGATGTTCTGTTACTAATATTTGTTTTTTATTTGTTACAGATGTTCTGTTATTGACCACTACACAATCTATGTTTGAAGTTCAATTAAACGGTTAGCTTTGGCCATTCTTCCTCTACTAGGTAAGTCTTGAACACATTAAGGTAAACTGACGACTCTTTGTTTAACATCCTTTTTTAGCTAGCATGTTACATGGTTTTTTTGTTCGTGGCATTATTGAATACAACTTTAGAATAATTAGGGTATATATGTTTTGAAAAAGTAGCCATTAGGGGCATTCCAACTGATATTAAATTTTTGATGCTGTAGAATGACAGTAATCTATGAATAATTAATAAACAATGAATAAAAGTAGGTTGTTATTTGGCAGGTTCTTCCTTTAGCCCGTGAGTTTTTGCAGCTGCTTCTTCGTGCTAAACTAATGTTCTTTTATTTTGAAGGTGAGTATACAATGGTTCATTATTTTTTACAATAGTTTATTATTTTTTACAATCTACCAAGCAATTTTATTATAAATTTATTGCAGGTTTATATTAACATATATTAAAGCATGCAGCAAGCATTCTATGAATCAAAGACTGAGGTATATCTTAACATTCTCTTAAATAAATTAAAAACTTCAAGTACTAATATTCTTGGATTCTATAATATGCACATATATAATATGCACATATCAGAAACTTTGCATGTTCCCATTGGTTGTATATATGATTATGTTATTTAATCTTTTAATTATATGTCCAAGTTGTATAATAATAGTGTTTAATATCTCACATATTATACTACTACGATTCATATATGTTTCAATCATAAAACATCATAGTAACATCTATTGTAGATTATACTTTTTCATTTATTGGTATATATTGATACCTTTTTGAAATGCTTCGCAGAGAATCACGAAGGGAATGCACTCTTTCAACAGACGAGTTGATGTAAGCAGATTCCAAAGCTGTCAAGATTAAACGGGAACTGTTAAGACTAAGTACCTCAGCAGCAGCCTCTTCAGTGAAAGAAGAGTTAAGTAGAATAACAGCCCGTTTTAGAACATTATATTAATTATAACATTATATAAATGTTGGTGCATCTATGCTAATAAATTCACGTTTTTATGTTGTTTCTTTTACCTAGTTTGGGACAATTGTGAGTTGAATGTGGTATTTGACAAAAAATTGGAAATTTTTAAAATTTTAAATAATTTTTTTTTTTAAATAAAACAAAGTTAGCTAAGGAATAGCTACAGATTTCCGTAGCTATTTATTTCCGTAACTATTCCGTAGCTATTCCGTAGCTATTTGGTTCCGTAGCTATTTAATTCTGTAGCTATTCTGTTGGAAATCCGTACCTATTTATTTTCGTAGCTATGGTAGCTACAGAAAATTTCATAGCTATTATGTAGCGATTCCGTAGCTAATCCATAGCTATAATTTTCCCACGGGCCATTATGCTACATACATTTTTCCGTAGCAATTCCGTAGTTATCCGCTTATAGCTATGAATTGTGCTGTAGCTATTGCACCAGTTTTCTAGTAGTGGTTTAGCACCAGATAGCATTAGACCTGATCAGTGACAGTTAACAAACAAGAACTAGTGAAAATTTAAACTTCAAAAATTGGTTGGAGCCCTCTAAATAAATGAAACGACTCTCCAAAAATAGGCGTATGCCACTATATATGGAGAACACACGGTATTCTTTAGTAAAAGGCGAAAGAATAGTTCGCTTTGTGCTCACCACATGGCTGCGTGCCTCTTCATGTCTCAGCTGCTTGGTTTAAGTATTGAATTTGATAGCTTCTGTTTCGTTTAAGTAGCCTATGTGGGATGAACCAGAAGCTTGCATTCCTCGTTTTCAAACCCTTCTTCCACTTTTCTTTTCTTTCCCCCTTCTCTTTACTTGGTTTTTGATTTGTCTTTAATATAGGAAGCGTTCCTATATAGGTTTTGAAAGGAATTATTATTAGAATAAGATATCGAGTGAAATTTTAATTTTAGTTGACCAAAAAAAGAATATTTTGGTGAAGAAAAACAAAGTTGGATTTGTAAATGAAGAGGATAAATTGGTAAGTACGTTTTACTTTTGGACAAAGGATTTGTGAAAATGGATAATGATATGCCGTTAAATCAATTTATTCATATCGCTTGTCAAAGATTCTAAATAGTTTTGATTTTAGACTTCAGACTTCACAGTTCACACATTGGCTTTTACTGTTTAAACATGTTACATAGTTCAACATTTAGCACTAACGCCTTGTTCATGAGTTTTTAGTAAATTTAGTAAAAGAAAGAGAAAGAAAATATTGACAGTAAAAAAGGGAGGGGAAGGAGAAATTTTCTTATTCCGTGTTCCCGAGTTCGAAGGAAATAAAATGAAAATTGTAAGTTTTTGTGTTTTCTTCCGGAATCCGCCCAATTTGGGAGGAAATTTTAGAATGAAAACATGGCTCTAAAATCCTTTCCTTCCCCTTACTTTCCTTACATCAATTAAATTCGGGAACACGCTTTTCCTTCGACATCACTCACATTCCCTCCATATACATCCATATATCTCTTTAAGTAGAACTCGGGAACAATGCGTAAGGCTTAGACAGACGGGTGTGGGCAACGCGGACATCGCGTTATCTGACGTGGCACGCGCCTTTAACGGCGCCATAACGCGGAACACCGCCCCAGGTAGCCGTTATGGGGCATTACGCCATTACCCGTTACCATGGTAACGAATGGTAACACCATTTTTTGACCGTTGCAAATTTTGTTCCGTTGAAAAACGGTAATATTACCGTTTAATACGGTGAATTCTAAAAAAAAAATTTACTACTTAAAAAATTAAACTATATCAATACATATTACCTCATTTTATTACACTTCTATTTCTCTATATCTATCTCTATTTCTCTATATCTATCTCTATTTCATTCAAAACAAAAAAAACACTATGGATCAAAACCCGAATACCCCTCCTCCGAAGACAAACACATCCACTCCATTAGGTTTTGCGGGATATGAGGGATACATGAACCTTCTAAACTCCCAAAAATCACCACAAATTCCATATTCCGACAATTTTTTCAATCCCGCCTCACCCCCACTACAATTCCCTACCTCGCCATTTATGCAACAAAATGCAAACATTCAACAAAACCTTTTTAACACATTCGGTCCCATGCGCCAAACAGTCACACAACGCCCACCCACGCAAGAAACCGTTGTCGAGACGCAAGCTGGGGGTAGTCAGAAAGCATCGGGAAAAAAGGGAGACCAAAAAAGAAAGGGAAAGAGGTCGTGGTCGGGGCGGAAGAAACGGAAGCACCTCCAACATGTTGGACACCGTAGGAAGAGCATGCGCTGGCGGTGGCTTGATGCAGTACTTCAAAACAACCAACTATGGGGAACGATATGAAGAGAGTTGATTTTTGGGATGCCGTAATTGTCAAATTCCGCACAATTCTGAACAAGGGTGACACATATCGCAATAATGATATGCTTAGTGGCAAGTGGACTCAAATTAGCCGGAAGTGCACCAAATTCAATTCCATATACAACAAACTTTCTTCGCAACGTCAAAGTGTGCCAATGATTTCGATGTGTTTAGAGCCGCGAAGGAGGAATATCACGTGCAAATGGGGCACATATTTGAGTATGAAAACGTATGGGACATAGTGAGGAAAGATCCAAAATGGATGAAAACGCCAACATCATCGGAACAACAATCAAAGAGGTCTCGTGGTTCGGGTTCGGGTTCGATGACGTTTCCGATGGACACACGAACATCGCCCTCAACGCGGACACCGATGAGATCCCGGACGAGTTTGATGACATCGAGGAAATCTCTCCGCCACGACGACCGATGGGGCGCGACAAAGCCAAGTGCGCGCAACGACATGCGCAGGAGAATGAAAGTCGGCTTCGAGAGCACGACGAAATGAAAAAAAATCGACGCCCACACGGAAATTGCAAATAAAAGATATGAATTGCAATGGGAACATTTGGATTTCCTTCGTCAATAAGCCGAAGAAGATCGCATATCGAAGGATTTTGCAATTCTTACAACAAACGAAGCAAATTTACCACCGAGATGAGCTGAAGTGATACGGAAGATGAAGGCAAAGATCGAGAGCAAATACTTGGGCGAAGAATAGTTTGTCGATGTTTTTTTTAAATTATTAGGACTATTGTGTGTTTTTTTTTTCAATGTTTTTTTTTTTGGTTTGTATGGTATTTTTAATTTACTTATTAATGAAATTATGTTTTATTAATTTATATGTTTTTTTATAGATATATGACATAAATAAAAAAATAAAACGAATTAGAAATATATGAAGTAAATAAAAAAAATAAAACAAATTAGAAAAAAAGAAATTAAAAACATTAAAAAAAAATTAAAAAAAGAAATAGAAAATAGAATGTGTTATCCCGTGTTATTTGGTGTTGTCCATTTCCACATTTGGTGTTATAACACCAAATTGTGATTAGGATAATGAGGTGGACAATTTGGGTGTGATAACATGTAATAATATGTTGCCCACACCTAGTAGTCTTAGTGAGTGTACCTTCTCACCACTTCGCACTTTTTGCCTGACATCGTAATCATGTCATTTCCCCCTTCACCTCTCTCATCAATAGGAAATGGCTACCTCTCATGTTTTTCTTTTTTTATTAAATATATAAAATTATAATTTAATAAGTTTCTAAATATTTAAAATAATAAAAGAGGAATATTTCATTAACTTAATAATAAAAATCATTACGTAGTAAAAAATGACAATTAAATAAAAACAATATAGAATACTTCTAATTGAAATAATTTTTCATAGTTTCCTCTCTTGTCCTCCAAACCATCACGAGGTCGTCTCCGGGAAATGGTCAATGTCTTTCATTAGAAATTTCATATTGCAATTTTTTTTTGTTTTTCTTCTCCCGAACAAATACCATTTCCGGCTCGGTCAGGGGTTGGCTTACCAAAATGTATTCGGGGAGAGAAGAAAAATTGTGGAATAAGGTTGGGCTAACGGGCGGCATAGAGTATTATTGTGGTATTTGTTAATAGTGAAATTGTTTGGGTTGAAAACATAGGGGTATCAAGTTGTGGTCAGTAAACCGACGGATCAAAAACGAAAACATTTTGACTCGGGGTTGTTGAACCACTTGCACGCGGTTTGTTTCGCCCGAATCTTGGGATGAAATCGGTGGAAAGGTTGTTTGAGTTCATTTTTGGTATCAGAAATTAAGTGTAGTGTTTGTGTGAAACGAGTAGTAGGAAGTGTATTATTTGAGTGACAAAGTATTAGATAGTGTGAAATAAAATAAAATCCAAAAGTAGCCGTTGGGGAGGAAAGGAAGAAGGTGCGCCGAAATCATTTTGGGACCTCACTTTACCATGGTGTGTGGTGCCGGTATTCCTACCAGCCTTATAAAAAACAGATGATCTGTAACCTATTTTACTTTCTTGTATTGTAAATTCAAAATATGGCAGGACAGTTAATATTATAAAGATAAATAAATTAACAAAATCCAGTTGGTTTCTTCTGTGATGCAGTTTCCGATCACAAGCTCAAAAAAGTCAAACATTCAGAGTTTTTGTTAAAATTGTCACTGCATTTCTTGTATCGATTGACACAAGACCTAGTGGAATTTTGAACTTTAAAAATTTGTTGGAGCCTTCCAATGAAGGAAGGGACTCTCCAAAAATAGGCGTATGCCACTATGTATGGCAAGCACACGGTATTCTTTAGTAAAAGGCGAAAGAATAGTTCGCTTTGTGCTTACCACATGGCTGCGTGCCTTTCTGTCTCTCAGCTGCTTGGTTTAAGTAACGACTCTCACACTGTCACACATTCTGTTTCATTCCAGCAGCTGATGTGGGATGAACAAGAAACTTGCATTCCACTTTTTCAAACCCTTCCTCTCTTGTTTTACTTTGATTTTGTTTTTGTTTTGTTTAAGTTTCAAAAGTAAATACTAGATAATGGATAATTAGAATAAAATATATAGTGCTAGTTCAAATTTTGATTGGTTTTAACTGTATTTGAACCTTTTGCCTTAACTGTTTAATTTTGACTGGTCCTTAATCCTAAACTGAGGCTTCCTTGTATTTGAACCTTTTGCCTTATGTGTTTTGTGAGTTGTCGCTATAAATATTATAAATATTATATGGATATTAACTAAAGTAACC